TTCCTGAAATATTGTTAGTTATTAATGATTTAAAAGAACTTTAAATCAGCAACCAAACGATTCTGAAAAAATCAGCAAAATGAGACGTCATTAGTCTAATTTTTGCTGTAAAACAGCCATTTTTTGTGATTTACAATAACTTATTTTAACATATACATGTATTTATGGAGTGAAATCTAACGTGAAACGATGGATTTGTTTTTTTTATAAAGAGGTCAACTGTGAAAAGTTACTGCTATATGACTAACAAAGGTGCATGTTTCACGTAAAACTAGCAAATTCTTAGTGTTTCAATGACATTTCTGACATTTATATTTGGTTTAAACAACCAAATGTGGCAGCTTGCATAGTGCATGCTGGGAAACCTGTCTCAAGCACCTGAGGTGTTTCAGAAAATAAAGACCTGTGAAAGAGCAGCGAATTTAAGTAAATGTAAGAATTTTTAAGGCGTAAAATTTCATTTTTGAACATTTTAAGTTCTATAAAACATAGCAGGAGAAAACAATTAAGTGTGAAACTAAGATCGCCATCACTAGCATTGACCCATATTCAAGAATGTTTCGATTAAAGGAGCAATATGTTAGATTTTACACAGAACTGGGAAAACTGAAAAAGAAACACCTGTGTTGGAGGTTTCAAAACAGTCAAAACTATAAAATATAATATAGTTTCTCATCATGGCACGATTGAGCACAGCAACAAGAGACAAGGTAGTTATTCTGCATCAACAAGGTCTCCCCTCGTCAAAGATTTCAAAGCTTCTGAGGGATCTCTTGTAAATACCATTGTTTTTGTTCATTGCTTGATTCAAATGGATTTGGGACTCCATTTGAAGTTTCATCTTGTGCAGAATTACTGATCAGAGATTATAGCACAGTAAGAATCAGTAATTGAAGCATAGATTACAAGTGGATCCTCCGGCCAAAAACCCGAATAACAAACAAATATTCTGGTATTTCACGACTTGAAAAGAGGATTTCTCAACATCTCTTTATGGCCAGGTCCATTTTATAACTTCTAGGATAAATTTTCTGACATATTGCTCCTTTAACAAACACAAAGGAATGGGGGAAAATACAAAGGAAATGCAATATTTGACAATGCAAACACTTAAATGACAAAAATAGAGATTAATAGCAACTGACATCACAGAAAAGTAGAACAATGAGCAAAAATGATGAATGCATTCAAACTATGGGACAAGACCTTGCCAGTCTACCTGAAAATGATGCTTTGCAAGTCGAAGGGATATTCAATAATCCCTGTTGTAGGGATTCGAACCCTAAGCACATCTTGCTGGGTCGGCAGATATGAGGGGTCTGCGATACGGTCCAAATCACTTAGATAGCTAGAGACAAGGAGAGATAGGGAGAGAAACGGAAGAAGAAAGAATCAAGCATGGCAGCAGATCCCTATGAGAGCTTTCGAAGTACAGTGAGGTAACGTTGCTTGGGACCCTAAGACGCAACGTTACAACTTCCTGCCTTCTCCAGTGACCCTAACCTAGTCCACATTTGCACAGATCGAATACAATAACTACTTTGAGGCGCTCTTTTCTTTTAAGAACCCTAAAAACACCCATGTTCATGTAGACAGGGCTTCAGCATCTCGAGAAAACGACAGCAGTAGAGTCTGAGCCCTAGATGCACATGAGAATGCACTCAGGGAAGCAGCGGTGCAGTGGCAGCAGCGGCAGCAGGTTAAAGGTCATGAGACAGCGGCGGAAGGAAGGAAGTGCCATGGGTTGCTGATACCTGAAGATTATATTCTCCAGGTTAAATGGATACTCTATGATGCCAGTGGTGGGCACTCGGACCCTCAGCACATCCTGCTGGCTGGGTATGTATCCCGGAGTTGATATACGCTCTAAATCGCTAAGGTAACTGTGGGATGAACAGAGGCATGGACAACTTGATACACATACACACAACTCCATCACCAAAGCCACAGGGAATTTCATTTTTCAAACACCTTCATGTTTTCTAAGAAAATAAATTTAGTTATGCATATTAAACAATCCCTTTTGTTCCATAAGAACAAGACTCTAACATATCAAGTACTTTCCAAAGTACACAGATGAAGCTGAATTCACTCATATACATTTGCAGCACAAATGTCATAATACACTGATGTGGATCAGAGGTGCAAAGATTGGCCATTTCTTTAAATGGCTAGTCTGATCTACCTTTTCAAACTGTTTGGATCGCGGTTAACGCCTAAAGGCATCTACACACTGAACCGAATTGAGATTCGCACAAATCTTCCGATGGCTTCTCAGCAGGGCGCTCTTTATCTAGGTCGAGGAAATATTGATGCAATGACACTCTCTGCCTGAAGATGGCGTTTGCGGTACAACAGACGCCCTCCACATTTGTCATTGCTCTTCTTCTTCTTTCTGTGCGAAGTCATTATGAAAATGTGGATTGAGCACCAATAAGTGGCTCCACTCACGTCATCAAAAGACCCAGCTTTCATTGGAAAAACCAAATCGATAACTCTTTTTCATTGGTACCAGTCGTTCGGTCAGCTCTGTGAGCTCCCGTTGGCCCCCATGGGTTTTCAATCGAGGTGGTTCTCACAAGAATCTTCGAATCGAAAATTCAGATCGGTGTGTAGTCGTTTAAGTTGTGTTTAAAATGGGTCATTAAGTTGTGTTTTTCTTTTTTCACTATTCCTTTTTTTTTCTTTGCACTGTCTCTTTTAACTTCCTGTTGCACGCAAGCTGCACTTGTTTACTAGTCGACGAAGCGAACCATAAGATGTTTTTACAGGAAGTGAAGTTTTTTTAACAAAGCTCTGATTACTACAATTTTAATCAATATTTCTTTTAATCGTTTACCTCAATGATTTGTTTTAGCCCTACTGGTAAACGGTGAGACTGACTAGCGAGTTACCACATTCCAATTCCAGGTCCCGGATGGCCAATTAGTGCATCTCTATTGTCCCCAATACCAGTAATGGTCATAGATACTTTTTGATGGTGTGAAACCTCAATTTTGATATAATTGGAGAATTTTTTTAGCCACATTTCACCCAGTTATTTGATGTAAAATATTTAAAAAATTGTATCTCTTGAAAATGTTTATTGGTTTTCTTGGGAGTAACCCCACAGTTAACAAAGGATTTCCTTGTTAAGCCTTTAAAGTAACTCTTCCTCATTAAGTGCTTCTAACGTCCCTCAAAAATAAATCTATGATTTTAAAACTCATTCAGAAGCAATAAAGAGGCTAACAGCTAATGACTGGCGATGCAAACACACAGACACACAACACAAGCACTTACTATTTAGTAGAGTCAGAGAGCTGGTACTCTCGCCTGCGGTCATAGGCTTCCTGGATGCCCATATCCATCCAGAGCTTCTTAATTGCACTGACGTAAGGCTGGTCAAAAGAGCAAACCTTCTCCACATCTACCTCTTTCACCAGCAGAGCGTTATTCTGTGTAGAAACACACAACACTCCTTACACACTTCCATTTTATGGCTTAACAGCTGTGTAATCCTAATGACTTCCAGAGGGGTGTAGAAGCAACTAGGTCACAAGTAGTTGAGTTAAAGTTTAAGGATCTTCTAAAGGAAATATTAACCAATTCTTTAAAAAACAAAACATGAGAATAATTAACAGTTACCCTGCAGCGCTGACCGTGGTGTGACAGCAATAAACTTTACAAGAGAGGTTAGCCGTGCTTTTATAGCCTTGTTTAGTGCATATCAGAGTTTGATTTGCAAATTGACGTGTAATCAAAGAGATAAGAGCACCGTGACCGCAAGCCCTCACCTTGTTCTCTTCATATTTGAATGGGATCTTGAGCTGCTCGGTGGCTCGGATCATAGCCTGCATGGAGGTGAAGATGTTCTGGTAGACAAGTTTGGTAAAGCCACGCTTGTCCTCATCAGTGTAACCCGTCCCATGAATGATGCGCATCTGTTTGATGAAGGTGCTTTTGCCACTTTCGCCAGTGCCTGAAGAGAAAAAAATATGGCAGAAGTTTTACTTTTATATCATATATTGAAAAGATTCATACACTTTGTTTACCAATTAAAAAAAAAATGCAATGTTGCCATTTAAAAACTTGGTTGCTTCGGATTTCATTTACTGAACACAACGTAAAGGAGTACACCCCACTACCAGAAAACCTTTAGTTTCCTTTCAGAATCAGCATTTTCTATGACATCCTATACTACAAAATGCATTGATTTACACATACACAAAAAAAGTGATTTTCCTAACAAATACATGTAAGCCCGTTTTGCTGAAATGAATACACCTCAACTATAGTCTATAGAAAATCCACACTTAAGACCACAAAATTTTAATTATCAGGCATTCAACAGAGAGGTGACCATAAAAGGGCATTACATAAAGAAAAGGCCTTTCCATTTCATGCAGTCAGCAGTGGCTCCCCAAGGAAGAAAATTGTCAAATTAGCAAAGCTTTATACATCAGTGAAAACCCTGTAACAAAAAGTGATCTGAAAAATTTAAGAAAGGTAGAAAGAAATAAATCTTAGAAATCTAAGAAAGATGGTGCAACCAGCTTACAGAGATGTGAGACTCTGATGAGAAGGGTGTGTTCTATAATAATATATCCTTATCTCAGTACATTTCTCAGCAAATGCATCATAAAAAACCATAACGCAACTTTGGAATATGATGCGCAATCCATAATATCGATCCATTATGTTTCAGAAATCATCGACATTTACATTAATTCAGAAGATTCTTTTATCTAGGGGTGTAACATTAGACTCTGCTCACGATACGATACATACCTTAATAATATGCACTGCGATATCTTACACTATTTTTAACCAACTATCGAAACAATGTTTATGTAGCAAACCTTCATTGGATAAAATGTCATTTAAAAAGTTTTGAGAACTAAGAAGGCTAGGGTGTAGTTTGATTTGTATGTGAGCATTTGATTCCACCCATCCACTAGGGGGAAGTGTTTGCATTAAGTAATCCTTTTTACTCAAAGTGATGGAGAGAGCTAATTTCTTGCTTTCCCTGGGGTTTGAACCCAGAACCTTGCGTTGCTAGTGTAATGCTCTACTAACCAAGCCACAGGAAAGGACATCTCACTGTAAAGATTAAACAAAAAGGCTATATGTTTTTAGGTTGAATAAAATTTTAAGCTAAACACTGTTTGATACCTTGAGAACAAGAATTTCAGAACACATTACTTTCATAAAGTCAACTCAAACTGGAAAAAAATGGAAGCTTTACAAAATTTCAACAATAATTTCCTGGATGCCTGGGAGGTCTCAAACTTTAGTGTAAGAGTCATGAACAGTTATCGGAAACGACACTTTTTTTTTAAATCAACAACCACTCTTGTATTTGTAAGATAACCAGCTCCACAGGATTTATCTTGGCACATAGAGTTATAAAGTACAGAGATCCTTGACAACTACTTTGTTTAAACCAAAGTCAACAAACAAAAATCTAGATCTACTTGGGGCGTAACGCTGCACAATGTTCACGATACGGTACATATCTGAATATTTTGTCCACAATACTGGAAGATAAAACTGTGTTTAAGACTGGTCTACCTTGATGTGTATAGTAAAAGTTCATCCAGCCTCTATGGAACATTGCCCACAGAGCGGGGAAGCTTGATTTATACTATTTTTCAAGCTAGTTTGGGTAGTGTATTTTAGCTTCTAGATGATACATCCCTGTAATTCTGCAATACGTTTTGCGCCACAATATAATGTAGAATCTCTAAGAACTGTTGACTTGAGTTCCATGTGGGGGTATGCGGACTCTCTTTTGAATGAACGGGAAGGGCTAAGATGAATTGTTGTGTAGTCCTCCATTCCTATAAGAAGGTCTAGAAACAGACTTAAAAACAAAGGGCTAAAATGGCAACCTGTGCAACCAAAGAAACCCACAAGTAACTTTGTCATTTGTTGAATTTTGATAGATTTCACTGTTTTTGTAAATACTGCACCAATTTTAGCCCAAAATCATTAACGTTACACAATAGACTCACATACGATACATAATTTTTTTGCTTTAATGAACCATTTGGTGGACGTATGATGGGAACGTCTCGATACATAGGCATATATTTTCAGTCGTTCTTCAAGGCCTTGTTTTCAAAAGCTAAGGGGTAAAGGGCTAAGGTGTAGGTGTAAGCGAGAGGAATGGACCTCGCTTATGATTGAGAATTGAGTGCAACCCAATGAGTGCTTTGTGATTGACACCCAGCATTAGGGCAAAGAACTCAAAGCAAATTAGCAAAGGATGTGTATAATGATACAATAACTAGATTATTACTCAGGTTAAGTTAAAAAAAAAAAACCTTACCAAATTAAATAATACACATTTACACAGCAAAGCAGCTGGTGTTTGTCATAGGATCAGAACGAAACTCTTATTGATGATTCAGGTTTGCTTTACCGTCAACATCCTGTTGCATCTGATCCCAGAGCTGAGTCACGGGTGGCTTTCTGTTCAACAGCTGGATTCTGGATTGTCATGCTCTAGTCCTCCTACCATCTGACTTCAGCGCTTTGCTGACAGGGGAAACCCAATAAAGCAGAGGCTTGCATAACCACCGCTCCCCTGGCCAAATAGCTGCACCTTTCTGAAGCTTTGCGCCAGTCGATCCACTGGAACTCTAGCAAAACTGTTTGAACACTTCTGGAGAATCCCGATACAAGGATTTTTCACCATATTAGGTCATTGGAAAGTAAAAGCTTGGCTGAACATCAATTTACCCATCAACTGATGTTGGATGTCAACAATTGAATATCTGTCACTTGAAACTGGAAATCAGTCATCAGCTTTCAGTTCCGGTGAGATGCATAGGAAAATTCCAAACCCTCTCCTGTTTCTATGTTCTTACACATTACAATATTTAAAACTATATGCATTTGGTAGCTTTAATAGCAATTCCAGATGTCCTCAAAGTATTGCCAGAGAGGCCCATTTCATTAAATTTCCAAGACTGAACTAAATATTGCTTTGGGAGTTGGGTTGCCCACACAGACAACTTAAAGTTTACATAAAATACAGATATTAGTTCTTACATAATTACATATTGTTAATCATAAACACAACACAGAGGCATGGCTAAGTGAAAGGCAAATTTTAAACCAGTAAAAGTGGTGATAGAAAAAAAAAAAAGCACTCCTACAGAAACCACTTAGCTAAACAATGAAGGGAACTCAGTCTCTTCAATGATAGTCCAAGTTCATCATACTTCTTGAAAATTAATCAGTTTAGTCATTTATTTTCCAACCCGCTTATTCCCTTTTGGAGTCACAGGGGTCTGCTGGTGCCTATCTCCAGCGCACATTGAGCAAGAGGCGGTCCAGGTATACCCTGGACATGTTGGAAGTAACTCTAATTGTGAATCAATTTCAGATAGTTTTGTGCAAATAAAGACATCTGGTGAACATGGAATTCCAAAATCAAGACAAACCCAATGCAGGAATGATTCTTGCAGGTGGGGGTCACATACCAATTCCTGGTCCTGAAACGTTCTGGCTGACGTTTGGTCATTTTTACATTTGATTTGCTAACTGCTTGGCACGCTAGAGGTTGCAAAAGGCTATACATCCCAACGAAGCTGATCAGGTAATGCAACTTTTGTGGATAGCATAACAACGTTCACTGTGACGAAAATGCATCCAGGGAAAAGTATGTACAGAAGGAGCAGTGGGGATGCCCTTGTTGGAGGGGATGCCCAGCAATAGTACCAATTTCTAATCCTTTGTACCAAGAAGAATAGAAGGAGCATGGATGGAACCAAATTAACCCCCCCAACAGGCAACAAAAAGCCCATGGAACCAAATGGTTCGGTACAAATTCATGATTTTCCATTGGCTTTGTTCAGAGTGAGTGCATTCCTAACAGTAGTTTCAGACCCCCTCTGGTATGTATGTATGTGTGTGAGATATACATCACTGGATTAAGCTGTATTGATCTATTTGGTTGATAATAGATAATACACATATATATGGTGTTTTCCCTACCATACAATAGCGGGTATCTCAATTATATCCTCAGTCCCATTGTATGAGTGTTGCAATGATGCAGTGGTATTGATGGCAGAGACTGGACAACTGTTGCGCAGACCAGAATTTGCTTGAGCTCCTTTGGGACTTTCCACTATAATTTTTAGTATGTTTCGAAGTAGACTTTCACACCTGACTTGTATATTTTGAATAAAAAAACTTTTTAGATTTTAGAGTTTGGTTTGTTTGGGCAGGTAAAAAAGCAACGACCGAACTCTAAATTGGACCAAAAGCAGACTAAAGAAAAAGAGTCCGAACGAAGAGTGGTTCGTTTGTGGTGAGAACATGGTCAAATTATGATCTCACCCCAAATCAATTGGATGCTGATGTCTAACGTTAACTCTCATCTGATTCTGTTTTCAATGCATTCCACAATCTATTACATAGGGATTCTGGAAGATGTCATTCTCCAAAAACGTGTCTTTTTTTTTAAATAAAAGTTTTAATTTCATTTGTTGACGGACAACACTTGAAAAGATTGATACCAAAGGAGAAATGCCTAAACAATTTTCAGTGATAATAATAAAAAAATTACACAATTGAACTAATTTTGTCAAGTTAACTCAAAAAACTGTTTGAAATCATACAAAGATGAACAGCGTTTTAAAAACAGATGAAGTCTCATTTCCTGACTACAAATAATCTAAAACCGCACACATGCTTTTACATGTGAGGGGTCAAACATCAGGGTCCAGATGAATTCTCCATCTCTGCTGAGACTGATGCTGTGCTCACAATGCAGCAAATTGGGTTGCCATAGCAACATTTTTGCAGCATTTAGCACACAGCAATGATTCAAAGAGGAGCTGTACATTAGCAAAGCCTGCTCTTCTTTCACCATCATATGTGTCAATCCTTGATCGGAAACCCAACACACAAGGGCAAGCAAGAACTTGTAAATGTTAGCTAGTCGACAACATCGATTCCACGATCCTGTTGGCGAACACAGAAACATGGTCTTTTTCGTGGCGGTCAAGCACTACAGGAAACGCATTGTCTTGATTTACCAAATAAAAATTGTTTCGTAGAAAACCTTTCCAATATTCTAATCTGATAATATTCTTGGGTTCAACCACAAGTTACAAAATAACCAGTCTCTTCTGCAAATCCCCACTGAAAATCAGCTAATACAGTCAGGATTCAAGCGTGTGGGTGCTGGCAAACAGACGAACTGAAAGCAAGCACAAGTCTACACTTCCTTATAAATTAAAGTAATTTTTGCAGCCTAAGCTGATTTTGACTGATTTATAGATATACACAAACTACAAAAACAAGAACAAAACATACAACTTGATAATATAAATGACAACTTCTTAGACAGTATTTGCAATATCACGATACTGAGGAACTACTGTTAAACAATCACTTTCTCTTTCTGCTAACCGGTTTGAACATGAAAATCATGAGGTAATCTTGGTGGGGGATTTGCATTAAGTTTTAAACTTGAATGCAAATGCTGCATCTTTATCGTTGTGGTTTCAAAAGCAAACTCTGAGTTCCATAAACACCACCACAAGGGTCAGATTGCATCACTTGAGTGAAGAGCAGAGTTTGAAAGCTATTGCAGCATGTTCTCCACAGCGCTCCAGTGTGATTGGGTAAAGTAATACATGGCTTATTTTTCATACGCTGTTATTTGGTTTTACACAGCCACCTGCTAAATAACTTCTCCATTTGTGAGTCCACAATTATTTTCAGATTAAAAATGGTCTATGCATTGTGAAAAATAAAAAAATTTATTGCACTGGTTTAATAAAAGCTGACTTGATGTATTTCGTTCATATTTTGAAAAGTTTCACATTTCAGAAACAGTCAGACAAAGCTTCAAAAATGTCCTTCATTAAAGCCCCTTTCTACTTATAGGGTCATAGGCCATTGGTGAATATCATCCAGTTACTTCTTATCCTCCAGTTGAACCAAAGATCAAACCTCTACACTTCTTCTCCAGCTGTTCCTGAAGTGACCTTGTTTCGTTTTCCCTTGAGGGTCCATTTAAGGGTTTGTCAGGGTAATGTTTTCTTGAGGGTGTCTTCAATCTAACTGTAC